GGATGTTGTTCAAACACATTGAAAAGAAAGGGAAACAAAGTTGGATAGTTATTCAAAATGATGTATTATTCTGTTTTTAATTACTATGTGTGTCTTTACCGTTTTGTTAATTTTTTTAGAGTGCTTTATTAATTATTTAAATAAGCTCTTACGGTTTAAAAGTTTATAATTCAATGGCTAAGACTTTTAAAACTCGTAAACAAGTCCCCGTCTGGCCACCAGTTATTGGGATTGGTTTACAACTTTTGGGATTTTTTAAAACCTCCCATAAATTATACGAACTTTTTTGATAGGTAACACAATTTTATAAATTTCTAAACCCGGTTTGAGTTTTCAAAAATTTATTAATTGATTAATGGAGTCTTGTTGCTGATAGAAAGAAGAAACATATTAGAAAAAATTTAGAAGTTTAAGGATCCATCAGTAAACTTTTAAATTAAGGAGATTCATTATAAAAAAAATCATCGAAATATTATAAATTATTTTTATTTAAAAATTTCTACTTATATTTAATATTACTAAATATCTTATACATTGTATGCATGTTTTTAAATTTCAAAAAACAGAAAAAATAGAAATATTAAAATTTAAAAATCCATATTTTACCTGATAATTTCCACTTTTTTGGTAATTAAAAAAATCTCAATCATCTCAAATCATCTTCATGTGAAAACAGATGGGGACCGACAGAGTAATTTATCTGATACATTGTACACCCTCGACAGACAGTGGAATCTGTCAATGCCGGCTGAACATCGAGAAATATTAATAATAAAAACGGATAAAGGCAAAAACATGTGAAATTATTTTTTACCAATAAAAATGAACTTTAATACATATATAGTGTTTTTCATCAATATTAAGTATTATTATTTTTAATTGAAAACATGTCCACATTAGTCGGACCAGACTACATTTGTATTAAAAGTAAAAGCAATTTGTTAAGGTTAAAATATTTTATTTTTTTTATTTTACTTACTTTACCATTTAATTCTTATTATTTAAAATGAACATTTTTAGTTATTATAATTATCTTTTTCACCTTTTTTTAGTTTAAGATAGATATTTTTAATTATTATATTGTAATTTTTTAATTGTGTTTAATTTTTTTAATAAAAATATTAATTCAACTTTATATGTCTGATATTATATTTAATTTGCTAGAGGTATTTTAAATTAAATTTTTCAACGCTTTGTATTTTTTTATATACTTACGTATAACATCTATTGTTGAGACATTTTTTACCATCATAAATTAAAGACATCTATTACATTAATACAAAACAGATAATTTTACAAAAAAAAAATAACAATAAAGATTAAAATGATTAAAAAATTACAAATATAAAAATTAAAAAGATCTATTTTAAATTATAGAAAATTAGAAAAAGTTAAATATAAAGAGACTAACATGTAAAGTATAATTATGGGAATTAAAAAAGTATTTTAATCATCTTAAATTAATCCAGAGTAACTAACAAGTAGTTTATGAGTAGAATTGGAGAAACAAGAATTAACCTTCTCTCCCATAACTTCTTGAATTTGAGCAACATCACTAGCAATTCCATGCATGATATCACCGGTGTTGATATCTGTATCAAAGAAAGTAATGTCCTGTCGAAGAACCGCTCTTAGATACTCAGTTCTGATTCTTTGAGCAGATCGCTCCCCCACTAACCTCCAACAAGTGATCTCTGCCAATTTCAATCATCAACAAAAATTATTGTAACACATCTAAATCATAAGAAAGTAGAAATTAAACATGACTAATGTCAAAGACGTGTTTATAAATTTCACTATAAGAACTAGAAGAAGATAAGAAAAAAAATTAAATAAATTTTTCATATGATAAGTTAATTTTATCTCAGAAAATCTTATTTCATTTTTCTTCTTTTCTTATAAGTAATTATGGAGAAAACAAACATTTAATTTCCTTACGCAAATATGCTCCAAGTACCACAACAGCAGCAAGCCCAGCCATAAATAAGCATATCTGAAAATCACAATAATACAATGAAAATGAACTTAAACTCCACTTTATATGCAAACATTAGAACAAGAAATAAAAGGGGTAAGAAAGAAAGAATAAGTACCTTCTCTACATCCTTCATCATCTGTTTCTTGTCACTGTCTGCTTCTGAAATCTTGTTGACCAAGTCTCCGAAAAGATAAGAGTACCAAGGAAGTGATCCTCCATTTATGAGAGCCCCTATACACCCCACAAACACAAGCAACCAATCCCACGTTGTTGAGTACTTAAACAAGCTGAACAACCCAACTGTCTTTGGAGGCTTTGCATCTTCCTCATCCATATCCTCCTCACCCTCTTCATCATATCCTGAAAACTTCTCATTGTAATGGTGACTAAAGCCCCCACCACTTTCATAAACTTGGCTACCATGTGATGGTAGTTCATGACCAACATAACCATGTTTAAGATATGGTAATTCAAGACCATGACCATTCCTAGGTGAAATAGCATGATCTTCTGTTATGCTATAATCTATCATGCTAAGCTCATCTTCATCAGCCAATGGACTAGTCTTATCTTTTCTATTCCTCCTCTCTTGGATGATCCCCAATTTTGGCAATCCACGAGGCTGACTATGCTGATCAAAGTAACTATACTCATTGTCCATATCCCTAGCAACATAGCTTTGAAGTTCAACTCTACCATGGCCAGAATGCTCATAAGAAGAGTTTGTGAGACCCCTGAACCTACTTGTCCTAGAAAGGTAGTAGTCATTGGCTGATCGGCCAAATATACGGCTGTGAGCAGAAGGGGGGCTAGCTGGCCAAGGACTCACAGCAGAACCAAAGCTTGTGCTATAATCTCGCCACCCTGTGGCCTCAAACTTCCATGAAACCTCTTCTTTCCATGACTGATCATCATCTGAGGCAAAAGGTGTGGCAGGAACTCGGTTGCGGCGAGCTCCTCGGGTTATGGAAGTAGGATTGCTTTGAGAGCTGGATGGTATGAAGGAGCCAGAGCCAGACACACTTAGGTAACTCACTGGTGTTGGATAGTGTCTTCTCCGGTGGCTTGAGTGGTATTCACCCTCAAAGGAAGAAGAATCAGCCATGGCTTGAACTATCTTTGATGAGAATAAGCACTAGTGGAAGCAATGAAATGGGGGAAAAGAAAAACAAGAAGAGTACCACTTTTTAGTGGTCCATGGAGATTGGTACAATGTGTGTAAGGCAACTTAGCTCCTTCCGCCCATGTTGTGAAGCTTAGACAGACAACACAGATTGAACAAAACACCAACACATGATATATACTATATAGAGGGTATTGATCACAATGTTGTTGTTGTGCATGGGACGGCATGCAAGGCTAAGTGGCCGGCTGAGCTTAGTTATGCTGGGTTGACAATTTTAGCAGTTTTTGTTTGGGGCATAATGTTGTTTTGATTGAAGTGACTTGTGTGAGTGTTTATTTTAATGTCAACGCAAACTTCCTCTCTCCTAATCAGAACAAAAACTTACAAGGATAATCCATTTGTCATGTAGACATAAATTCTGACTGCAGGGTATGTTGTGTCATCATCTCTTGACTTGAGTTCATTATCTGTTGCTCTCTTTGACTAGGTAATAGGTACGTTGTGTCATGTAATTAAGAAGTGACTTAACCAAGAGGTTTGAAGGGATTGTTTCAGGAGAAAAAGAAAGGGAATAAACAAGCACTAACCATAAAAGACTTTAATCTTATGGTGGAACTTCCAAAGGAGTGTATTTCTCAAGGACATAAAGGACGGTAAGTTTATCGGAAGTTTCATTCGATGCCAACAAATTTCACGGTGAAAGTTAACTTGAACAAAATGTACTGTCCGGAGGGGAATCTGTAGAACAGCGAGGGCATTGCACAAAGTGCATTATTTTGCTGCATGCATAACTAATAGTATATAATACGTTTAATCCAAGAAAATCAAATAACCACATCGTTATCTACATTTGTTGTTAATTGACAGAATGGCTGGCTTCCTAGAAATGATCTAATCATAAAAGATTGTGTCGTCTAATGTTCCGGCTATTGGTTTTTTTGTGGTGAATAACGATGATTCATTTTGAACTGATCTGACTGTCGCGTCCTTGCGTTTCTTATGAACCATGATCATTCACACTTCTTTCTTTGTCGTTAAGCATTTGATAAATTCCCAATAACCTATTCCTAATTACTAGTTATAGTATTAACGAACAACAAAAACAATACATGTATTTCTAATTACTAGGTATAGTATTAACGAACAACAAAAACAATACATGCACATTCATTCGTAACGAAGCTGGAATTTAAAGATATATACAAACTTCTTAACCTGAAGCTTTGGGCATATTCTCAGAATAATTTGGTTTAGATAGTGCATAATCTTGTTCATATATACACTGTCCACAAACTAACGTCAAATAAAAACTGAAACTAAATACCATTCTTATTGGAGGTCAAGTTTAATTATTGTATAAATAGAATGAGTTTAATAAAAAAAAAATACCATTGGCAACGATTTGACGTCTACCATTGCATTTTCATCATCCCTCACAACATATACCAAGGAACATTATTTTACACAATTATCATCGTAATAATTATTAACGAGTGTCGTATATGTAACAGAAATCATGTGGGGGCAACCTAAACTAAAAAAGCAAGTTTGAGCCGAACATTATCTGAGATGAGTTCCACAAGCAAATATCACTCCATCTCGTGCAAGAACATCCAAACTAAAACTGGTTCAAGGTTTTGGTAGCAAAACTAAAGGGGGGAAAGAAGAAAGAAACTAACTGATTTTAAGTATCCAAAAATGAATATAATAAATGAAATACGATTAGTGTACTTCCTTGTTCATTACTGCAATATCGGACAGTTCCATGTTCGCAAGAACCAGAGCAACAACTAATAAGTAATGGATGCAGCATCACAAGGGAACATGGATCCACAGCCAAATGTACTTACTGTGTGACGATTTACATGTAACGTGTAGCTAAAAGTAACAATAGAATGGAGAAGGATAAGTAGCAAATCATTCTTATTTGTTCTTTTCATGGGGAGAGGGAAATAATCTTTTGAAAGCTACTATTTTACTCCGCAATCACATTACTCTTCTTAACTCTGACTGTACTGATTCATTCTAACAGAAGTTCAACTTGATATACATCACACAAGTAAATCAAAATAAACGAGCAAAAGAATGCCACTACTGCCAAAATTACAATGACACTGCACCAATAGGCGACTCTTCACTGACTACAGTATGCAGCATATATCAACACAACCATGACTAACTAAATCATAGGGGAAAACCTCATGAGTCCAAGAAAATATACATAACCCCATCACATATATCTTTCATATAGATCATTGTATCGTGCCTACCTCTCTTTTCTGTATCATATTTAATATTGTCCTTTACACCCCTACCATTGAAGATGATCCAAATTACTTGTCACGCCCACTTAGTGAAATTTCACCTGGGTTTTGAGTCACTACCCTTGCTTCGGAAAGTTGATAGTGAAAAAAATGATTTGGGAGCTGCACAAATTGAAGTTAACATGTAACTATAATATCGTGTAAAAGATACTAAATATGTAGCAAATAAACGGTTATCATTCTTGAAATCAATAAAAAGAAATTCATATCATAGGCCTTTAGAAAACAATAGCATAAGAAAATTTCCTCAAGTCAAGATTACATTCTTTTCAAGACACAGTGAACAATTCCAAGAGATTGACCCCTTAATCCAGAATGAACTACCAAAATCAATGAAATGCAAAGGAGGATACATGTTGAGTATTCCTCACAACTTACACAACTACTTCATCAGCCTGACACAAGAAACTACACCAAAAATGAATAAAAAATGACCTAGAATATGTTATGTTACCCAGGCATCACCTTTTAAAGAACTTCCTGATATATGATCATCCCTCAGTTTAAAATGAGCAGGAGGTGCAGGGATAGAGCTTTGCAAAGATTGAACTGCAGGAGTTAAGAAAACATTATCAATTAAATTTGAGTGTTGTTTTATTTTATCCTTTAGAAGAAGAAAAAAAAGTTATAAAGAGCAGACAGGAACAAGCCATGATCAAAAAACACTAACTTAAAATAATATAAATCATGACTATAAATTAGTGCCACATTATTGGCCAGCAGAAAGAACATTATTATGACACGGATAATACTCTAGGTTTTATAGGATAAAAACTGATCTAACCACTAAAATATCCATTGAAAAGAAGGGATCAAAAGTTTATGAAATTACATCCAATTTTAAGATTAGTTGATACTTCATCAAATTGCTTCATTTTAAAATACAAGTAAATGTCAACTATAAGATAACAAACCTATGAAGGTTTAATTTATCTAAAATTTAGTATGTAATAATCATCAAGATAATCTCACACAATCCATCAGCTAGATTTGTTACATTCATAATCTATAGAGAAAAGTTATCAAGTAACGCTTCAAGATTTTCTCTTCCAATAAATAAATCCTTCCTATGCATGAATGTATGGGTAAATATAAACACGTACTGAGAGCATTAATAAGATCTGGATGAGCCCACCAAAAAGTAATGTCTATACAATGCATCTACTCAACCATATCCACAATGATAAGATAAACCCTCAGTCTACATGAATAATACAATATCATCAAGGAAATGGTCAGGTATGAAAACAAGAGTGTAAAAGAAGTCAGAGTGTGATCCCTTCAAATTCCCATCCAAAAAGATAAAGTGAGAGTTTCTTTGTTCATTCACATCAATATCTATAGAAGAATAATTTATCTAAATGCGCAACCAACAATTGAAAGAAATCAAAGGACAAAAAGGAATCCATTTCCTAATTGCATGATGGCACAAGAAAATGGCAAAAAAATGGTTTACACCTAAATCTCTAGTCTCTAAGCTATAACCAAGCACATTGATCAATACCAAGAAATCTGAGAAAGGAATAGATAGGTTACCCTGTTCATTAAACAGCTCACTTTCATTGAAGCTGTCATCAGAAGGATGGCCATGAGAAAATCCCATTCTTGACTTCCTCAAGTCTTCTGATGACCGGTTGGCCAGATCTCGGCCATCTTCAGTGTCATCATCTCCTTCAGAAGTTGTAGCAGAGATCCAATCAGCCAAACTCTCTGATCCACGAGTTTTTCTCCCAAACTTAAGCAATCGCTTGAAACCTTTAGTGACATCCTTGCGGGGTTGATTTTGGGATGAATTAGCAACAAGATATGGTTTTTGAGCACTTCCCCATTTTTTCCTCATTCGGGCAGCATCATTGTCACCTTGGTTAAGAGAATGAGAATTCCAAGATGCAGGGCTTCCAATTGGAGAATCTATAGAAGCATCAATGTCAGACGACTCATGTGGGTATGAAAAAGGATGAGGCACACGTGAATTCCATGACACAGGACTTCCAACTGGAGAGTCCTGCAGAGATCTTACTCCATTGAATGTTGATGGAAACCCAGGAGCCATTTCACCCACTGAAATAGGGTCTACCTGGGCAAGAGACCTTGCAGAATCACCAATTTCAGATCCAGAATTACCAGACTTCCCAGATTCCTGGCTCAGACTCACCTTTCCATTATTATTATAAGCAACATCTTTGATAGCCATAGTTTCAATGTCATCCTGTTCCTCCACGGCCATTTGCAAAGAATCTTCCTCATCAAATTCGAGGTCGTCGAATTCTTTATTTTTCTGAGTATCCGATGCCATTGAAGCTTTCATCCGAATAGCATTGCCAACAGAACCTGAACCTATGTTATTACCCTTTTTAAGGAAAGACCTAGGTGATTGATCATAAGGACCCATATCAGTCTCGTCCATATCAAATTTCAATGGAGACAAAACAATCCCATCTGAATTCAAAGGGGACAAATCCTTAAACTCTGCAGGATTAGCAGAACTTTTCCGTAAAGACAGAGTTTGCCTTGACTTCTCTTCCTTGACTCCTTGAATCTCCTCAGCAGTGCTTTTGCTACGTGTATAGGTTCTTACCTGAGAGCGGGTTGTTTTACTGACACCAGAAGATGGCTTTGTATTCTCTTTTCTTAAATCAGAAAAGTTTGGAACAGACTGAGCAAGAGGGTTGTCTTTTCGCCTGCCAGATGAGCGAGAGATCGACACTGCTGTTTTACGAGGTGTGCCTGAAGATATATGTCTGTTAGGAAAATTTTTCCTACTTTGCCTTGAAGCACCATAAGTCTTCTCTTCTGAGAATTCAGAAAGATCCTCATCATCTTCATTCTGAAGAGAATCAATCGGATGCTGTCCAAAACAATAAAGGGATTTAAATTACAAAAACAGAATTTTGTGTTTTAAACTTAAAAACAAACATTGCATTCCAGAAAATTTTTCAGCAGTCATCACAAAAATAAGACAAAGTCATGAATACTGAGTACCTGCTCTCTCTTAACATTTGATTTGAAATATTTAAGTTTCTCGGCGCGATGAGCACCTGATGCTGAATCTTGTCTGTTTACAGACCCCGAAAACTTGGCCTTCATTTCAGCTCTACTCCTCTCGAGGCTATCCTGCATGGCCTTCATCCTAGCTTCTTTCTCAGCTCGGTTCATACTCCAATCTTCTCGAAGTTTAGCATTCCTCTTCTTCATATACTTCTCATAAAACTTTCCTCTGGGATCTTCCCCCAAGTTAAGATCAGAGAAATTTTGCCTCAAAGCATCACCAGAATTGTGACTATCCACCGTCTTCATAACCGACTTAGCATCAAAGCTTGCCGAATTGCTTGAACTCGCAGCCACTTCAACCACATTGCTTCTGGAAGGCAACTGAGGAGTCGACTCCCCAACTCCAGCTCTTCTATACTGTGACTGTTCGACATGTGTATCCACCGGCTCAACTCTCCTCACAGAACCAGACTGATCCCCAGGAACCCTAAGTTTATGCTCAGCAAAAAGCTTTTCAAGTTCATCTGCCTTCATTTTCAGCTCATCATGTAGCCCCTGATTCCCTTTAGACTGCCTCACCCTCTGATGTTGCTGCTCCAAGGGAGGGGTTGAGGTTGCACGTGCATTATCCCGAGTCTCCAAAGCTTGTTTCAACTTGTTCATTTCATTAGGACCCTTGCTGGTTTCATCCCTTTTACCAGCTACAGGTTTCTGGATCTTCATTCTTGGGATTTGGGAATCCTCCTCCTTGTTGGGGAATGATGAAGAGTCCTCAACCTCAATTTGTGAAGATTGATCAACACGAACAGAAACATCCCTAAATTTGAGTCCATTGCCACCTTCAAACTGCGCTGATAGGGATCGAGAATGACTTCGGGGTCCCCTAATAAGCGACGGTGCAACAACATGATTTTTCACCCCACCATAAAACTTTACATCATCATCCACAGAAGACAACATGGGACCAACAACCTCGGACGAACCCTTCTTCAATGAAACAGCCTCAGAACCCACCTGATCCTTAAACCCCACGTTATTGTCCTCATCAAAAACCGAAACTTTCCCCGTCTCCTGAGAAGACCCTTGATCGGTTATCGCACCCTTCTCCGATTTGTCGCTCCGATCCTTGTCTTCAGAAACGGCGAGGGACTTGGACGACGCGGACGAAGGCAAGGGGCTGTCGGAGGAGTCCTTCTTCTCGCCGCTAACGTCGATGCTCATGTCGCTGGCGCCGCTCCAGCGCCGCAACACGTCGGAGGAGAGGCGCCGGAGCTCCGGCAGCTTCCCGGAGGAATTCTCCTTCTGCTTGTTCTCGAAGAGGTTGATCCGGTCCTGCACGCTGAGGCGCCGCGCCGACGGAGCCGTTACCGTGGACGACGCCGGAGACTCGGTCTCGTCTTTGGCGGGAGTGTCGTTGGCGTCGCTCACGCTGGTGTTGCTACGTCGTAGTGAAGCGAAGGTGGCAAAGGGCTTGGGCTTAGGTGGGTCGGTTGTGGACTGGGGTTGGGCCTGGGCCTGGTTGGGCCCGTCGTCGTTGTCGATGGACATGTCAGAGCTGACTGATGAACGGAGTTCCCTGTCATCGCCACCTGGCCAGTGACTGATAAGGTCCGGTCTTCTTTCGTACAGTGACATGTATTTAGTGCATGCTTCACTGCACCGCAAAAACATATCAAAATTAATTAAATAAAACAACCACATTATCATTTATTATAGATGAATGAAAATGAAAAGTATATACTTGAAGCGATGAGCACCAAATCGATCAGCCAAGTGTTTGAGTTGGGAAACGGTGTGGGGGTTGAAACCGGAGGCTAATGCACGACCACATGCTGTCGTTAGGTCCTGCCTCACTGCACTCAATCGTACATCAATTGCCCTTAGCAATTCCTTTCTGCGCAAGTAATTAAGTCGTACCAACAACTTCAAATCAGCCACATATTTCAAGTGTATCTAAACTATGTTGAATTCGCTTGGATTTATTTCACCATTCACATGTTTTCTAATCAATTATGAACGTCCTTTTTTCCATTATTATGTTATGTCTCCATTAGTAGATTAGTAACTGCATAGATTCTTGTCTCATAGAGGAACCGCTAACACTAACAGAAACGAAAGCTAGATGGAATGAAAGAGGGTGGAATTATTACGTGGTTGCATCTGCCACTGCTATGGCTCCTGCTCCATTCCCACCTGGACCAAATTCACCAAAAATATTGTAAGCGTGCATCATTAACAATCATACAAGAAACAATATGACCATAAAGCATTTCCTATTTACATTATAAAAATAATAATAATAATAATAGTAACATTCTTGCTCTGAAATTTATCAAAAATTATATTTCACTATTAAAGCTGAAGAGAGAAACTAGAGACACTAGAGACCCAGCATAATTTGTAATTTTCAATAAATTATCCCTAATAATAAAGCTTGTTTGAAAAAAACTGTCATAGGGATTATAGTCAGCATTCTTCTCTTTTGAATTGCTTGTAGAAACAGAAAAACCTTTTCTCAGACTAAACAAATAAAAAGTTTCTTCTTTGTTAGCCATCACTTTCCCAATTTTGTTTACATTGTCATTCTTTTCTCCATATCGAAATCCAGCTGATTCTTGCTCCAAGCATGAATTTCATTCTTCATTTTCTACTTCTATGCTAGATATCAATCAATGTTGAACCTTCTGCCCATTTTGACATGCTCTCAACAATGTAGATAAAGCAATTTTGTTGGGGCAATTATGGAAGTATGGTTTGTTCTCTTTCCTCTATGGCTATAATTAACTTCATTTTCTATCTATTCAGACATAGAACCTCCATCAAGGTGACATACAATATAGATTATCACCGAATTGGGCAAAAATTAGACAAACTTTTACAGACAAGAAAACATTTTAGAAGACCTAAAACCAGTAGCCAGCACATAGATATTAAGCCTGACGATTCTATGATGATAATAATTTCATTTAATGGTAATAATAACTAATTTCATTTAATGATAAGCAATGTGAAGTGTAAAATACGTTAATTGGTTACTTTAACAGTAAAATTAAAATATGTTCAAAGGGGAAATAAAAGTGAAAGAAACATGAAGAATAAGTAATGAACTTTGACAATAATTGAACTTCCAAATTTGGACTATATAATGCCAGCCAACATAACTAAAATTCATATATGTACAATATTTTTCATCCATTTTTGTACAACAAAATTGGAAACACTATTCTTTTCCTCCATGCCTATATGGTACCTTCCATAGAAGGCAGTGAACATGCAAACTAAGCCAGCTGGTGAACAAAATAGGACCCCAGTTGTTTAATGCAAGATACAAACAACTAATAATTGTTTAATGCAAGATACAAATAACTAATAATCTTAGGAGTTAAGAGAGGTAAATATTGATAGGACAAATTCCTCAGAGTGGTGACAGGTAAGAGGTATCACAATCAAAAGATGAAGTTCCAAATTGTCTTTGGTTAAGGTCTAATTGCAAAGAAAACATACCTTGTGGATCTGAACGCTGATCTCCTGCCCCCTGAAATAAATTATAAATAAATAAATAAACATTCCAAACATCAACAAAAGAAAGAAATTGCTTTGTTCAGTTGTTTGCACCAATCTTCTCTGTTTGACCATATTTACATTATTACCTGAGAATATATTCTCCTTGCTGCTTCCAATTGGGACATCTCTGCATCAAAGGTATTGACCATTTCCAAAACCTCTGGCGCACTGACAAACCGCACAAACCTGTACACACCCATTAAATCGGAAGGCTCAGTGCATACAAAGTGACCAAATCCAATAAAACTAAATAAATTCTCATTTCATTGCTTTCACCTCTCAAATGTTCCTTTTGTAAACCACGTGTCGGCATTTTTATGCCTATCAATTTCTAGCTTGATTGATGGGGTAGCTAGAGCAGCCTGCTCTTCTGCAACCTTTAAATGGGTCAAAAATGGCTTTACCAGCCCTGATGCTAGTTTCTCAGTGTTTCCACCACTTGAAACAAGCAACTCACATCTGATCATTAATAGAAAAAAGAAAAAAAAAACAAGTAAACATTATTCCAAAGTGCAAACTCTAATCAGAAGAAAAGCACATAACAACTAGAAAATCCCAAGTTGTCCGCACCTTGAACGCCTTGGAGACAATTGGAGTAGTGCATAATCAAGAGGCGTGTCAGACTTCATTTTTCTTTATTGAATGTAGCACTACACTCTACCACTCTTCGGATCATTTCACGTAAGCAAACGCAATCTTCAACTTCGTTTCCATTTGGAACCAACCATAATCAACAAAACTACACACAAGAAATCCCAAAATCAGAATGTAGATTCTGCATAAGCAGGGTTGAAATAAGAAAAGGGAAAAGAAAAAGAACACTTTTCGCGAAATTCTGTGTCAGACTAACAAGTGCGTTCAGTGTGGGTCATTTCCCTATTTGCATTACATTACAAATCTACATTTTCAATCAAGTTTGAAATTGAACAAAATCAAGTGACTGCCCAGATGCACATTAGGTAAATCCCACTTGTTTCAACCCTTAACAGAACCATACCATAGATCCCAACCCAAAACCCAAACTTGAAGCTTCTGCAACCCAAATTTGCCACAAAGAAATTATAAGAAATAGATCTGATTCAGCAAAAGACCGAACTTGACTAAAGTTGCATAGACAGCAAATAAACCCAAAATCCAATAGCAACCAAGCCAAACCCAAAAACTTGCCAAAAAAAAACACAATAATGAAATAAACAACACATGGTCAAAGAAAGCATTACCACGGCTACACAGAAACAAATAGGCGTGGTGCAAAATGAACAACAAAAATGAAGAAACCCTAATCATTTACATTGAAAATTTGGAGTGGAAATGTGGAAGGAGTGTTGAATTGAATGTGAAGGGCAGATATGGATGACCGAGATCTTGGATTGCGTGAAGCGATCCTCCAATTTAGAGTTCAAAAGGGCAGCAGCATTTGGCTCCTTTGTCTTTTATGTTCTTCTTTCTCTCTTCTCCTTGTTCTTCCCTTTTTGTGTCTCACTGTGGAGGAAATGAGCCTCTTTCTTTTTCTTTCTCTTCTCTCATTTTCTTTTATTTTTTAAATTTTGAGTTTTACGAAAACCCCACAATGAAAAAGATGGTTTTTGCTTTACTCATCCTTCATTTCAAATCCCTCTCTACTTTCTCTCTCTACGCCCTGTCTCTCTCTCAGTAGAAAGAGGGAATGACAATGTTCAGACAAAAATAAAAAAACAAAAACGTTGCCATTTGCCACTGTCACATTTGCAACTTGTCTTGTGAAACGTTAATGCAGTAGTAATAGTAATTAGCGTATAACAAGGATTCAATTCAAAACACACAGTGGCGGAATTACTATATGGGTTTTTCATTGACCGTGCTAGACTTCAACGTCACTCAAACTTTTACTAGGAAGGAATATCCCAGGTTTTTTATTTTCAAATAATAATTTACTCTTGCTTTTTCCAATTTTGTAAAACAACTTTGTTTTCTTTTTTGCACTGGGGAAATAATTCGTAAACAAACATTTAAAATTTAATATTTTGTTACTCAATTTTTTCAAACTTTCCATATTATAAATAACTTGCGTTTGATAATTTAATTAAATGTCATTATTAGTTCTCAAATTTTAAGGTTTTGAATTTCAATCTTAAGATATATAAATATGTTATTTTTTATTTTTAACAATACAAGAGTATAATAATCTATCATATATATTATTAATTCGTGTTAATAGTGAACATATTATATTATTAATTAACTAATTGTATTAAATAATTAGTTAATGGATGATAAAATGTACAAAATTTTAAAATTTTAATAGTAAAATGTTAAATTTTAAAAGTTGATAGCAAAATTTGTAATAATGTGAAAAAATGAATGGTAAAAAAATACCATTAAACCTTTTTTAAATAAAATCTAGATAAAATAGTAAGAGTGTCTCTTATTGTAATTTCAAACTAAATTTAAAAACAATTTTTTATCAAACCAACATTGTCCTCATACCAAAAACTGAAGCACCATTTGGGAGCTGCACAAATTGAAGTTAACATGTAACTATAATATCGTGTAAAAGATACTAAATATGTAGCAAATAAACGGTTATCATTCTTGAAATCAATAAAAAGAAATTCATATCATAGGCCTTTAGAAAACAATAGCATAAGAAAATTTCCTCAAGTCAAGATTACATTCTTTTCAAGACACAGTGAACAATTCCAAGAGATTGACCCCTTAATCCAGAATGAACTACCAAAATCAATGAAATGCAAAGGAGGATACATGTTGAGTATTCCTCACAACTTACACAACTACTTCATCAGCCTGACACAAGAAACTACACCAAAAATGAATAAAAAATGACCTAGAATATGTTATGTTACCCAGGCATCACCTTTTAAAGAACTTCCTGATATATGATCATCCCTCAGTTTAAAATGAGCAGGAGGTGCAGGGATAGAGCTTTGCAAAGATTGAACTGCAGGAGTTAAGAAAACATTATCAATTAAATTTGAGTGTTGTTTTATTTTATCCTTTAGAAGAAGAAAAAAAAGTTATAAAGAGCAGACAGGAACAAGCCATGATCAAAAAACACTAACTTAAAATAATATAAATCATGACTATAAATTAGTGCCACATTATTGGCCAGCAGAAAGAACATTATTATGACACGGATAATACTCTAGGTTTTATAGGATAAAAACTGATCTAACCACTAAAATATCCATTGAAAAGAAGGGATCAAAAGTTTATGAAATTACATCCAATTTTAAGATTAGTTGATACTTCATCAAATTGCTTCATTTTAAAATACAAGTAAATGTCAACTATAAGATAACAAACCTATGAAGGTTTAATTTATCTAAAATTTAGTATGTAATAATCATCAAGATAATCTCACACAATCCATCAGCTAGATTTGTTACATTCATAATCTATAGAGAAAAGTTATCAAGTAACGCTTCAAGATTTTCTCTTCCAATAAATAAATCCTTCCTATGCATGAATGTATGGGTAAATATAAACACGTACTGAGAGCATTAATAAGATCTGGATGAGCCCACCAAAAAGTAATGTCTATACAATGCATCTACTCAACCATATCCACAATGATAAGATAAACCCTCAGTCTACATGAATAATACAATATCATCAAGGAAATGGTCAGGTATGAAAACAAGAGTGTAAAAGAAGTCAGAGTGTGATCCCTTCAAATTCCCATCCAAAAAGATAAAGTGAGAGTTTCTTTGTTCATTCACATCAATATCTATAGAAGAATAATTTATCTAAATGCGCAACCAACAATTGAAAGAAATCAAAGGACAAAAAGGAATCCATTTCCTAATTGCATGATGGCACAAGAAAATGGCAAAAAAATGGTTTACACCTAAATCTCTAGTCTCTAAGCTATAACCAAGCACATTGATCAATACCAAGAAATCTGAGAAAGGAATAGATAGGTTACCCTGTTCATTAAACAGCTCACTTTCATTGAAGCTGTCATCAGAAGGATGGCCATGAGAAAATCCCATTCTTGACTTCCTCAAGTCTTCTGATGACCGGTTGGCCAGATCTCGGCCATCTTCAGTGTCATCATCTCCTTCAGAAGTTGTAGCAGAGATCCAATCAGCCAAACTCTCTGATCCACGAGTTTTTCTCCCAAACTTAAGCAATCGCTTGAAACCTTTAGTGACATCCTTGCGGGGTTGATTTTGGGATGAATTAGCAACAAGATATGGTTTTTGAGCACTTCCCCATTTTTTCCTCATTCGGGCAGCATCATTGTCACCTTGGTTAAGAGAATGAGAATTCCAAGATGCAGGGCTTCCAATTGGAGAATCTATAGAAGCATCAATGTCAGACGACTCATGTGGGTATGAAAAAGGATGAGGCACACGTGAATTCCATGACACAGGACTTCCAACTGGAGAGTCCTGCAAAATTCATATCATAGGCCTTTAGAAAACAATAGCATAAGAAAATTTCCTCAACTCAAGATTACATTCTTTTCAAGACACAGTGAACAATTCCAAGAGATTGACCCCTTAATCCAGAATGAACTACCAAAATCAATGAAATGCAAAGGAGGATACATGTTGAGTATTCCTCACAACTTACACAACTACTTCATCAGCCTGACACAAGAAACTACACCAAAAATGAATAAAAAATGACCTAGAATATGTTATGTTACCCAGGCATCACCTTTTAAAGAACTTCCTGATATATGATCATCCCTCAGTTTAAAATGAGCAGGAGGTGCAGGGATAGAGCTTTGCAAAGATTGAACTGCAGGAGTTAAGAAAACATTATCAATTAAATTTGAGTGTTGTTTTATTTTATCCTTTAGAAGGAAAATAAAAAGTTATAAAGAGCAGACATGATATTAAATTACTTCTTCTAACAATTTCTTGTTCATGGATCATTGGCCAACATTAACCAGGTTGCATTTCTCATATACTAAGTTATAATAATCATTAAATTTGGTGACATGGGGTGTTTCATTTTCACCTTTTAATTACTTTATTGTTGTCATGATTCAAGTATTTGAAATAGACGCGTATATTGGACGAAATGGACGTTTTGGTAACTTCGAGTGTGGTACTGCTGTATATAGTATAGTACTGTATTGTATTGCTTGAAAGTGTTTGCATAATAATTGTTTTAGCAGAAAATGACAGTGATACGTTAATTAACTTCTTCTGTTCTGTTCTAACTGTGTAATTAATCTTTCACCAATCAAATCAAATCAAATGCTTTTCATAACCATATCATTTTGCAGTTTTCAGATTCAGTATCTTCTATTTCACGTCCTCTTCTGTCAATTTATCCTTCGTTATTATATTAGCAATATATTTGAATATTTAATGATTGGTGGAACAAAGAGACGGAATTATTGATTTCATTACTTAAATATTTTGCCATAAAGTAGTTTGAAAAAAACTATTTCATCAATTAAAATACGAATTAAATAATAAGAAAATTAGTGAACACTACTAAGTAAGCTTTAATTTATGCCCCCCAATTAAATGGGGAAAAACAGATGATCCATAATATGAATAACTTACACTAAATTATATTTTTTATATTTAATTAATATTTTGTCTCTTAATATTTAATTTCACAACTTAATTCTTAATTTTAAAACTTTTTATTTTAAACTCTTTGTCAAATATTTTATTGTTAAAATTGTGATATTATTCATGACTTAACATTAAGTAAATGGTATGATAATTAATATTTAATAATATTTATGTTAAATTACATGAAAATGAGAAATAAAAGTATAATTTAACTTAAATACTAATTGTCATATTGCTTACTTAATATAGGTTATGACTAATATTATAATTTTAACGATTAAAATGTAAATATTTATAAAAAAAAAACTAAAATTATAAATTTTATAAAATTAGAGAATTAGAATTACATAATTAAAAATTAAAAAATCAAAATTGTAAATCAAATGTTATGGGAGATCAAAAGTACAATTTAACTAATAATTTAAATAACAAAATGTAATTTCTTTATTTTATTTTTTTTGTAATTTGAGATAAATATTGAGATAATTTAATAAAATAATGAAACTTAATTAAAAAATAAAACTATTCTTAAATATTTCACTATTCACTAAGGTTGCCGAATATGCTCCTCGTTGGTGATCATGGATAAAAACAAAAAAAAAATGGTAAAAATTTTAAGCATATTTATGTTAAACTTATAGTCTAACCAAATCTATTTTTTCATTGACACACTAATTTCTCAAATAATTGATATGAGTATAATTTTCTCCCAATTATCAAAGAGATCTTGATAAAATTGTCTCATGAAATTGAGCACAATTTTACGAATAAATAACTCACTAATTTCATGATAAAAGATGGAAAACATGTTCATAACCATTTGATTGAATAATTGACCAATCCCTTGTTGTTTGAAGAAATCCTTTATTTTCATTGATATTTATTTCATAAAAACATGAGATAATAAATTTAATCTTATGCATTTACTGCAACATTATGCTTAGGTGAGTTGTGAGGATCTCTAACTAAAGGTTCAATTAACCTTGGATGGAAAGATATATAAAGTTTGTTTTATAGTTAAGTCTCATAAACTTGATTCCTCAGATACCTTAGAGAGAAAATACATTTTATTGGTTTTTATTAGGATTTTTTTAAATATCATTCTTCTTTTTATTCAAAATATTTACCGTGTTAGAATAATATTTAATTTGTTTTATTTTAAATTAAAATTCTGTTTTCTTAACTCTACTATCATCTTTATTGTATATTTTAATTAAATTAATTGAGTGAAAATATACTTATATGATGGTAATTTAAATATGTTAATAAAATGCCACTTATATTTTCTTTAATAAAACCATTCAATAACTTGGTTACTGTGATTTTTTATTACTGTGTAATTACGTTAAATTATAGATATTTAAAAATAAACATTGTCACCATCAAAGCTGTTTTGCATTTGAAATTAAAGTCTAGTTGGTGATTCATTGATTTTCGAATAACAAATAAAATAATACTATAAGAAAACCAGATTGTAAATTAAAAAATGGAAAATGAATTTCATAATAAAATCAATGTCGTATTGTGAAAGAAAAATCAGAAAACATAGATAGAGAATGAGTCGTTATAATTTATGCTTTATTTTGAAAGCTGTTAAAATTTATGTTGGAATCCACTAATGCTGCGCTTACATATTTGAAATTTATGAACTCTTATAACGTTTACATTGCTACGTATCAAATAAATCAGGCTCTACCAACATCCATTAAATAATGAATCGTGCACGTAAATCACGCATTACGTAATCATTTCTTAATTTCAAGTCTTTTACATGTAATTCTGAAATCATGGGCACAAGTAACATAATTTATTTGATGTTATATGGTAATCTAAACACACACTTAGTGATAGTAAAAATGAAGTTGACTATGAGTAAAATTATTTATATTTAAATTAAAAATGTTGAATAGTTTGGAAAGGATTTATCTAAAGTATCGTAATATTAAATTAAATAAAAGATGTAATTTGAAAGGCGGTGGAGGGGAAGTGGAATGGCGTTGTGTCTTATTGATTTGGTGTTGCTAAGGAATCTGTATCTGTCCCACCAATCAGAATGCAACGCGTCTCTTGTTTCTCACAAAATTCAAATCATAAATCATACATCTTAATCTTATTATACCAACGCATCAGCAGTAGGAGTTAATTTACGCCTAAACAAAGTTAAAAGTTTAAATTTTATCTTGTATATGTAACCGCGTTAAATTTTGGAATTAACTATCCCACTTTTTGAAGTGCTTCCAACCTAACAACGATAAATGTTCCAACTACGACGCCTATACATCCATACATGTCATTCCATTGTTTTCGTTACAAGTGAATGGGATATTCAAAATAAATATGAACAAAAGCAATAAAGTATAAACAAATATATATGCCTTATTTAGGTAGATAAAATAAAACAGTAAAAAGTAAAAACAAATATGATCATTTCATGTTTAATTTAAGAAAAAATTATGTAAAAATATAAATGAAAACCAAGTGGATCCATTGAAAATTTAACTTTTTGTTACTCAATATATATATATATAATTTTTATTTTTAAATTAAATTTAATATTATTTTATTAAAAAATATCTACAGTAGTTTCTCTATAACCTATCCTTTTTTAATTTATAAATATTTTTATTTTAAAAAATTATGAGTAGTTAATTTTTTTAATTGAAATATAAATTTATTTATCACGAATTATGATATAACTTAAATGGTCAAAAATATTTATTTATTACAATATAAGATTAAAGTTTATTTTGTACATTACACAAATTAAAATAAGCTAAATTATACTTTTGGTCCTTTATTTTATTTATTATGTTTATTTTGATCCTTTATCTTTTAAAATATTTATTATGATCATTTATCTATTAAATTTGAACAATTTGATCATTTTAAAATAATGATTATTTTCAATTTTGAGACATGATTTTGAATATTTTTTTGACTGATACAAAACTTCAAAATTCATCTCGTTAGATTCATTATATGAAAATTATTGAATGTAACTAAAGTTTAAATAAAAAAGTATTACATACATGGTAAAAATTAAATAAAAAATTGTTAAATTTGTCAAGTGAGACCTTATTTAACAAATATAATGATCACCTTACCAATATTTACTTTTTTTATTTTTATAATGCATCTCTTTGTTTGAAATTTTTTTCTTATATAAACATTAAAAAAAACACCTTTTTTATTTTTATTTTTTGATGTGCTTGTCTAATTTTTTTTAAATAAGTCATTTTCTACACTTTTTTTTAGAAGCAACACCTATTTACTTCTTAAATAATTTTAAAAACAAATATTTGTTTAAAAATGTAACGACCCGCCATGGTCTCTACACTTAGTGGAATCGCACTACTGCTAGTGAACTAAGAGAAATATTAAGTTGGATAACTCATACATACATGTATAAATAATAATAAAAATAACTAAGTTTTTTGTTATAAAATAGAACACCATATATATATAGTCATCCCAAAAATAATATGACTTTAATGCTTGTCAAGAACAGACGAAATTGATACCCAAAATGGTAACTCTAACACGAGGATCAAACTTCCCGTCTCGCAGCGGTCACCCCAACTCCAATCTATCCCTTACCCGCTTAGACCAACGCCTCACCCTCCAACTGAGGAAATACCAACTCTCTTCGAGTACAATCTATAAGGATGTGATGGGCAGATAACTCATCCATCCCTAAGATTATGTCGATATCTACTATAAACAACACAATCAGGCTCACTCGGAACCTCCTACCAAACACCTCTATCGGGCATCTCACACACATCTCCAATGTCACCATAGAAATTGAAGCCGGAGTAGATACATAGAAATCAACGTGCAATGCAGACACCGACAACCCAATCTACCTACACAATCAACATAAATAAATGAATGTGTGGCACCAAAATCAAACAGGAACAAAACATCCTCACCTACTGCCTTCCCCTTCCTCTTCACCAAATCTGATAAAGTGGAAGTCTCTACACTTGATAAAACAAACATTCTCCCCGCAACCGTAGGCCTGACTAGCCTCGGGGCACTCTAGATGGAGTCGGTGGCATCTGACAATCTTTGGAAATGTGGCCTGGCCTACCACATCTGAAAAAAACATTTCTCGAATGGGAACAATCTCTAGTCATGTGGGCTTCTCCACATTTGTAACATTGCACCGACTGTGCTCCACCCTGAGGAGTAGCAGGACGAGGTCCCCTACTAACAGCACCCCTCTGAGACTAAACAAGTCTATCATAGGGTCCTCTCTACTGACCTCCCCTCCTAGATCTAGATGATCCCTCCTTAACTCTAACAGCCTTACCGCTGCTACCACCACCCTCCAATCTCACAACAATTTTTGCCTTCTCAACCAAGGCAGGAAACTCCACTATAGACATAGGGACTATGACCCTCTTCAGCTCATGCCTCAACTCTTCTGCAAACTTCCTACATCTCCAAGCCTCAGATACGGCCTGAGAGTATAAACGAGTCAGATGCTCAAACCCATAGCATACTTAGAAACAGACAAGCTCCCCTGATGTAGTCTCATGAACTCCGCCTCCTTAGCGTGTCTAACGCTGTACGGAAAATACTTCTCCAAGAAAACTCTCTGAAGCAATCTCAATCTACAACCACACCTCTACTCTCTATCATCTGCCTGGTGCCTCTCCACCAGTACTCAGCCTCGTCTGTCAGCATGTAAATTGCATAGGCCAACTTTCTCTCCTCAAAAGATCCCAAAACACTAAAGATCTTCTCTGTCTCCCACAACCACTAATCTGCCACATCGGGATCTAAATTCTCCTTGAATTGAGGAGGCTGACACCTCTTAAACTCTGCTAAATCTCTCTCATCCTGAGAGACCACTGGTCTAGCTGCCTTAGTCGCAGCTCTACCCGCCTCTATCTAAGCAAAGTGAGCACTCTGTTGCTGCATCGCCATGACCATCATCTCCATAGCCCTAGCGATCTGATCAAACTGAGGCCTCACCATACTAAAAGAATTAAAACATTCTTTTACTAACACTTCACCACTACAACTCACCAAAATTAACACATATCAGAGATATGACACAACAAAAACCTAGAAGGATCACTCCCCACAGAGTATCCCAAAAGACTCAACCAGCTCTGATACCATAAAAGTGTAACGACCCGCCATGGTCTCTACACTTAGTGGAATCGCACTACTGCTAGTGAATTAAGAGAAATATTAAGTTGGATAACTCATACATACAGGTATAAATAAGAATAAAAATAACTAAGTTTTTGATTATAAAATAGAATACCATATATATACAATCATCCCAAAAATAATATGACTCTAGTGTCCGTCAAGCATAGACGAAACCGTTACCCAAAATGGTAACTTTAACACGAGGATCAAACTCCCCGTCTCGTAGCAGTCACCCCAACTCCAAGCTAGTCCTGACCTGCTCCCATACAAGGTATGATCATCGCAGTCCATCCACATGGAAACAGAAGGGTAAGCTAGAGTTCAAAAATCAATCATACAAGTATAGAACAATAATCTATACTACACAATCATCCAACTATCAATCATATTTATAGAGTCACACCATACACTCTATCCAATACTACTCATGCATAAAATACAATCCACCAATCATGAAGTCAAACACCACACTTCATCATATTAATAATCATGCAATAAATGCATCTCATGACAGATATCAATGCATATCAATCATCTAATGCGTCGTCACGCATACACCTAGGAGATCTCCACAACAATAGAGCTGTATAAGTGACATTCCATCCTACCGAAACCACCCCAACCGTTTTCACGCCCAATGCGCCCGCTCGGTCACAACTAAACAGGATATAATCCTCACTCGGGTTTACTCGGATGATGTCACTTACACAATTGGAAGTCCAGATCCACCGTCAGGTATAGTATAGCTGGGTACGGGCTTACCACGACCTTGGCATGCATAACTAAGTCAATTGTGGAGTTCGTCCACCGACTATCCGCAAGGATCCACGCACCTTCCCGAGTACTTGGTTAAGGGAATAACCCTCGACCTCATACCCCGCTCCACACTAGCTAAGGACTTAGAGGAGACTCACCCAACCTAGTGACCTACCTAAGCACCACTCTCCCAAATCAAATAGCCTACCAAATCACCACTCTCATATATCAGTGGCCTATCAAAGCACCACTCTCAAGAGACTCTATGTGAACTCTTCCAGTTTGAAAATAGTTATCCTCTCCTCAAGTCCTAGGCTAGACTCATGCCATAAGGCATCACATGCAATTATGCATCACACATCATACATGGTCTGCCCACCATCATGATCAACAATCATACACATGTCATAAGACATCACATGCAATAATGCATCATACATCATACATGGTCTACCCACCATCATGATCAATAAACATACTCCTATGAACATATACACGTGTCATATCACATTCAAACATTTATACGTATCATTACAAAGCATACATATGAATCATACCTCACAATACATCATATATCATACATACATGATCCAAAACTTCAAATTAACATGCATTAGCATCATTTCATTCATAAACATATTCACCCCCGGCGCAACCTGAGCTTGCCCAGCCTAATCCCAACCTGAGAGTCCTAAAACTCATCCACACCTGGCGCGTTCAACTCACGCTCGGTGTCTTTGAGACAGAGACTCCTAAGAGTCTCCACACCTGACGCAACCAAATCACGCTTGGCCCAACATCCAACCCGAGAGCCCTAAGCTCTTCCATGTCTGGCGCACTCAACCTACGCCTAGCCTAAACCCAGTCAGAGAGTTTCAAAACTCTCATCCAAACCAACAAATCCAGCCACATGCAAACACAAAAAACAATGCATAGGCTCCATACAACTCAAAATAAACTTAAATCTCACATGCATCCAACCTATGCATCAAAATCATCAAAATCCTCCTTTTTCTCAAAACCCCAAAAAATGAGATTTTCTTCAATCCATCTATGGATTCTCAACATTCATGCATCAATTGAGTTTCTAAACTCACATGCAACTTAAACAACAAACATTCTAACTTCCCTCACCTGAAGATTGGCTCAAAATAGCCAATAACTGAGAAGAAGTAGAATTTCCTTCCGAAGCTCAACCCAGAACTTCAATCCTCCAAAGCAAGCTTCCTAATCTGAATTTCAAGAAAAGACAGAAGACATTAGTGATCTAGAGGAGAAAAGGAATCATATAGAAGAATTTGAGAGAGAAAGGAGCTCACAAACCTAGAGTCCTTCTCTCTAAAACTTCTCTCTAAAAACTTCTCTTTCTCCTCAACCACACAACCCCTATTTATAGAAGTTTAAGAGTGGCCAGAACGACCTGTTCCGAACCCAGAACGACCCGTTCTGGGATTCATCCAGAATGTCCCGTTCTCCATCTAGAACGGCCTGTACTCCCTCCAGAATGGCCCGTTTTGGGGTTTGGAACGGCCCGTTCTCCCTCCAGAATGGCCCGTTCTTAACTATAATTTATAGGTCAATTCAGTAATTTGGAACGACCCATTCCAGTTTGGGAACAACCCGTTCTAGGCTACTGAATCACCCATACTAGGCATTTGGACCTTCTGAAATAACCTACTACATTACAATACCCCCCAACAAACATGAATTTTCGTCCCCGAAAACAGGCTTACCTGAAAAGAGGAATGGATATTATTCCTTGAACTGACTCTCCACCTCCCAGGTAGCCTCACCAGTAGCTGCATCTCAAAGAATCTTCACCAAGCTGATGGACTTGACACGAAGCTCCTTCAACTTGTGATCAACCACAACTACCAGTCTCCTCATAGGTCAAGTTCTCTCTAACTTGCACCTCATTCATCTTTACCACTTGACTCGAGTCTCTGATGTACTTCCTCAACTGTGAAACGTGAAACACATGCTCTCCCTCTTCAAATTCTAGAGGTCTCCTCCTCTTATCAACATAGGACTTTTGTCGACTCTGGGTAGCCCTCAACCTTTTCTGAATCTATCTCACCATCTCAGTAGTCTAAAGAACTAGGTCTGGACCAACTACTATTGACTTACCCTCTTGATACCAACATAATGGAGTCCTACACCTCCTGCTATACAAAGCCTCAAAAGACGCTATGTCAATACTCGAGTGGTAACTGTTATTATAGGTGAACTCTACCAATGGTAACACCTCCTCCCAGCTACCCAGATGATCCAACACACAAGCTCTCAAGAGATCCTCTAGTGACTGAATTGTCCTCTCCGACTGACCATCTATCTGTGGATGATAAGCGGGGCTCAACCTCAACCTTGTCCCCAAAGCCTGATGCAGAGTCTGCCAACTTGGAAGTAAACCTTGGATCTCTGTTAGAAATAATACTGGAAGGCACTCCATGCAACCGTACTATCTCTCTGATATACAACTGTGCAAGCCTCTCCATGGACCACCTCTTGACAGGAATAAAGTGCGCACACTTTGTCAACCTATCAACAATCACCCAGATAGAGTCACTGTTCCTAGCTGTCCTAGGCAACCCAACCACAAAGTCCTTAGCTGAGTGCTTCATGTTGTTTGCGCTTTGAGTGTTGAGACAGAGAGGGTCATCACTGGGATTGAGATTGTTAGTGAGTTTCCTGTGGTGTTCCTAGATGATGTGTCGGGATTGCCACCTGTGTATGATGTTGAGTTTAGCATTGATCTAATACCAGGTGCAGGACCAGTATCAGTGGCTCCTTATAGGATGGCTCCAGCTGAGTTGGTAGAGCTAAAGAGACAGATTAAGGATTTTTTGGAGAAACAGATGGTGAGGTCCAGTGTTTCTCCTTGGGGTGCCCCAGTACTGTTAGTGAAGAAGAAGGATGGTGGGGCCCGTTTGTGTATTGATTATTGGTAACTGAATAAGTTAACGATAAAGAATAAGTATCCACTTCCGAAGATTGATGATTTGATGGATCAGCTGAAGGGAACTTTGGTGTTTTTGATGATTGATTTGAGATCCGGATACCATCAGATCAGGGTAAAGGAGAGTGACATACCTAAGAATGCTTTCAAGACTAGGTATGGTCACTGTGAGTACGTAGTGATGCATTTCGGTGTCACTAATGCTCCAATAGTGTTCATGGATTACATGAACAGGATTTTCAGGTCATTCTTGGACAAGTTTGTGATGGTCTTCATTGATGATATATTGATGTATTCTAGATCTTTGGAGGATCATCGTGAGCATCTGAGGTTGGTTTTAAAGGTGCTGAGGGAGAGGTAGTTGTATGCCAAGCTGTCCAAGTGTGAGTTTTGGTTGTTTGAGATGAGGTTTTTAGGGCATGTGATATCGGTAGAGGGGATTGCAGTGGATCCAGCCAAGGTGGAGGCTGTGATTCAGTGGGAGCGTTCGAGGACTGTTACGAAGATTAGAAGTTTTGTTGGGTTAACGGGTTACTATCAGAGATTCATAGAGGGTTTCTCTCGAATAGTAATGCCTTTGACTTAATTGACTCGGAAGGATCAACTTTTTTTTTTTTATGGACGCTTGTGAGCAGAGTTTTCAGGAATTGAAGGGGTGATTGACTACATCTCCAATTTTGGTGTTACCTGACACTGGTGAGCATTTTGATGTGTTCTGTGATGCTTCTCACCGGGAGTTGGGTTGTGTGTTGATGCAGGGAGGGAGAGTAATGACATATGCTTCGAGGCAACTTAAAACTCATGAGAGGAATTATCCTACTCATGATTTGGAGCTTGCAGTTGTGGTGTTTGCCTTGAAGTCGTGGAGGCACTATCTGTATGGTGCGAGATTTAGTGTATTCAGTGATCACAAGAGTTTAAAATACCTGTTTGATCAAAGAAGTTGAATATGAGGCAGACCCGTTCCAGTTTGGGAATAGTCCATTTTAGGCTACTGAATCACCCATACTAGACTTTTGAGCCTTCTAAAATAGCCTACTACGTTACAAAAAACACTTCTTTTTAATATCTAATAGTGTGCTTGAACTTTGATCACCTTTAAAAAGTACATTGATGGTGATGTTATATAGTATAGATCGGTAATTTGTATATTATAATATAAATTGTTTATTACAAATCTAAAATATATTTTATATGTTAAAGAATATTTATTTATTACAAATTTAAGTTATAATATAACTTAAATATTTATTTATTATAAATTATAAATATATAAAACAAAAAATATTCAATATATTGCACAAACTAAAATATTAATTTTATTTTAAAAATTAAAAAAATGAAAAATTTGCTAGACATGTACAATGCCACCATTATTGAAATTTGTATCTTGTGCAATGCGAGAAAGATTTGCTAATATTTAAGATGTATAAAGTTTCATTAATATATACCTTTTGATAAATGTACTCTCTATCTACATTTTACAATACAATAAATATTAATTAAACACAAGTCTTGGGTAAAGTACTACCAAATGAACAGTATGATATTGATGGTGTATGTTATAGACTCTCCACCAATGGTAATCAGCAGGTTCTGTTGGTATAATAGGAACCCCACAGTCATTGAGTAAGTAGTAGATTACTGATGGGACAATCCAGTGTGATTTGGATCAGAGGGTCCATTCTCCATCATAGTGTGGGTATTTGGGGCCAGGGATTCATCTTCAATAAACTGAAGCTGATCATATTTTTGGAAAAATAGTTAGTTGTTACTCTAATATCAGTAGATAGCTTTATATTTGATTATATATTCTAGACCCATCATTTGAATAGTAGGTGAGGTGGTATACATGCATGCATTGACCAATAACATTTTCAAACTAAAATTGCTCTTCCTCGGATCGCTTTTGATTTGCCTTGATGCTATTTGTCCTTTTTCACTCAGTGGTATGAATATTTATACCATAAGCATTATTTGAGAATTGAGAGTCAAGGACATTATAATCTATGCTTTGAGGCCCTTCATCATAACTTTGTTCCCTGGATTCAAATAAGAGATTGCAATGCATTTAATAAAATCACACTAGATCCATTCATATGTGCTTTTTTCATGATCTGGGACGATGGTTTGCCGATTCATTATTAAAAAATTAGTCAAAATAAACTTTCAGCTACAAAATCCATGATGCTCACCTAGTCACCCCAATGTGGCATATTATGTTGATGACTTGGGCCATACTGACCTAGCTATTTGGGCTGAGCCTTGACGAAGTTAAAGCACTGAAAATATGTTTGGATTACTGTTCGGAATGGGACAAAGAAAAATTCTCTGGTTTCAAAGCAGAAAAATGGGAAACAACAATTTGTTGCTTTCATGTTCAACAGCTGTTTGAGGATTTCTCGCAATAAATCATTTTGGGGGAAGTTACATTAACTGCACTAATTCATTGTTAGGGAAAGTTATATTGATAAGTGTGTTTGAGAAAGATTATTTCCCTCACTTCCAGTTGTTTTTATGAAACAAAAGCTGTTTGTGAAATAAGGGAATTGTTTAAGATAATAACTTAAATTTGCAAACGTTTTTTTTTTCTTCAAACAAATAAGTTGTGTTTCTTGAATCTGAAAATTTGAAATTCTTTATTATTTTCAACAGTTTTTTTTTCTCAAAAAATTTGCAACATTAGATTTTTGTTGTTGTATGTAAATGGGATTAAATATTTAAAAACCACTTTTTTCAACAAATTTATTCAAACAAAAATTTATTTTGATTCCAACGATTAAAATAACAATCAATTATACATATAATTAATTATTGAAATAATCGAATTTTCACGTCTAAAACACACTCTAAGCATGTGTTTGCTTATACGTTGAAAACGTGGAAAACCACGTTCAACGTAGAAGCTATTACTAATAGCTTCTACGAGATCGGAA